GATGACCCAACGCCAAAACCAGTTCTTCTGCAAACCAAATTTGACAAGGGATGATGGATATTCGTTCCAAAATAAAATAAAAAAGCAATAATTATAATTATTCACTAGCCTTTGGTAAAGGCATGTTTGTCTACTTCGACCGCTCTGCCTGTTATTCAGAGTAACTCGTTTATATTGCCGCTCCAATGATCTAAATTTGTTTTCTATTTGCACTGTATTAAAGTTGTATCCCTTCTCCTTCATCGTCTGCTCGATGATTTTCCACATCTTCGTCTTATTCTTCAGAGACGCAATTTTTCCAACTTTAGGGCGGAGCTCTTCCAACAAATTTAACATCAGTTTCGTCGGAGCATCGAGCCACACCTGCCTTTCGCCTTGCACTATCGGTACAAAGTCTTCGTCTTCACCCAGCCCCCCATCTAAAAATGTTTACAAACATTAATGATATACATACATACATACTCTATAAGAGTCATGTTTTCGTATTTTCTGCAAATAGTGACTAGTAAAAATGTATGCAATAAAAATCCGGTAAAACTTGCAAGTTCATCTGTCATTTCCCCTACTTTGCTAGTTTCTTTTGAGTTTTGGGGTACGAAAACGCCAGCCAGCAAGATTCCAATAAAATTATTACTGGGTAGGGTGCAAACAAACAACTAATACCAATACTTACCTATAGTAGAAAACGTCTGGCTATCTGTATGCTCCTCAGGTTGGATGCTTGCTCCTGATGCTTCCTCGGGTTGGATGCTTGCTTCTGACGCTTCCTGTGTATGTACTTTTAATAAAAATAAGGTAAAATTTGTTTTATTAAACCCCAAAATGTATCAAGAATGACCCTTTACCTATTTGACTACCTCACCATAAACTGCATTATGTGCTTGAAGCGCATTATCAGCTAAACTTTGCATAAATTCTTGATCTGCAAATAGTTATATTATCAGTTGTTATTGTATCGTGCAATAAATAATGCCACTTACCATTCTGAACTCGGTTGAAAGTTCCAGGAGATAAACCAATTTCTAAGTTTTTGGGTTCCATTTCTTCCACTTCCGTGATTTCACCGTGCTTCTAATTTTCAACAATAGGAGATCTGATTTTAAGTTTTTGGATAAAATTCTGAAAATATTTTTTAGATACATAACCAATAAAAAATTTTGTGTGTAAAAATTTTGCCGCCTGCCTGAATAAATAATTCTGTCAAGGCAAGCATTTGACATTTATATACATACATACTTGCAGGAAAAATGGTTTTTTGCGTTCCAGCAGTTTTTCTCAGTTCTTCACCCGTTGCTCTCTCTTGAGAGAGACAGTTTTCTTTTTGACAGTTGTACAGGTTTTAGTCCAAAAATCGCTGGAACGCACCTAATACAACTTACAATCTTCGCTTTGCCTGGTAGACTAAACATATGCGCGAAAATGCATTAACAAACAAACTTGGTGACTGTAGGTATAAGCATGAGAATGTAAACAATTCAAAATACAGTAATCATAAACAAAAACATACAAACAACAATACATGAAGCGATAAACACTAAGACGAAGAATTTTATGTATGTATCATCCCAACATTACATTATTGTTGTCCGCAGAAATGTTGTTTTTTCATGAACACCTGACACCTACACTATTGATTGTTGTGGTGGGTGAGAACTATATTGCGATACACATGAGCGCAATTATCGGTGTCTGTTTTAAAATTCATCCTTTTATTATTAGGGGTGTTCATGATATGTAGCATCTCCAAAACATATCGTTTATTATAATTTTGCTCTTGTTGCAAGATAGCTACATTTTCAAAGTCAGGGTAATGTCCGATTTCCTGACAGTGAGATGACAAGGCTGCCTTATTTTACGACGAATTGCTTCTTAACTTAATATTGTCCTTGTCTTTAGTTTAGATTTTGTAGTCCCCACATATACCATATTGCATCCGTGGGACCAGTCGAGTGTTATTCTATTGTTCTTTCTTATTATTAGGGTGTCCGGATACGGCAATTGTCCATTTTTGTTTTTATTTCGATTGTAAATTTCATTGTTTTATTATAGTTGTTTAGAGTGTTGAGCATCTTGTCCATACCCTGTAGGGAAAACACGAACTAGTGAACCAAATTTCTAGTTCAGTACTAGTTCTTTTTCGCCAAAAACGAACCAGTCCGATAGTAAATAGTCCCGAACCAGTCCAAAAGCAGTGAAATGTGGTACTTTCACTAAACTATTTTATTTCAAATTTTAAAAGCAGGGAAGGTAATCATTATGAGTAAAATAATTTAAAGCAGCATTTAATCATTATTTTATGAATTATTATTGAGTTTTATTTTTTCGCTCAAACGGAAATAATTATTATTTGATTTTTATTTTTGGGATTACAAATAATGATTTTTTTATGATATTTATTTTTTCGCGCAGAGATTATCATTAATTTTGAGTTTTATTTTTCCTCTTAAAAATAATGATAATTTATAAAATTGAAAAGGCCATACAGACGCATCCTACTGAAATTTTGACCTGAAAAGTTTGGGTCTTATTCTTCTTATAAGGGAGCGGCTACCTCTCAAAAGGATACGTCGGTAATCACGCTGGTATAGTTTTTGAGTTGCTTAATAATAATTATACTTAGTGATTCCATAAACAAAGGCCAAGATCCTGAAGGACAATTGAGAAAGGCAATGCAGTTGCAGAAATAGAGGCATTTAAAAAAAGTGTAAAACAATTATCACTTTCTCACTAAATTTATTTAAAAATGCAGCCACCAGAGCTACCTTTTTTTTAAGAAAAGAAAAATTAATTTTTTTTTATGCAATCCAGCACAGCTACCTTAATACAGTCAGTCAATAAAGTTTAGGTATAACGAATTTTTTACAGTACGGGCAACTATTTTTTAAATATTTTAGTTTTCGGTAATTTTTTATAAAAATATGGTCAATTCTACAACAAAATCCCAAAAAAAGAATTTTTAATAAATGCGTTTGAACATTTGTGATTGTATTGTCCTTCCTACAATAACTACATATAAAAAATGGATGCAGATCGAACTAGATCTCATCTGTCGAATTAGGAACTGGTTTGGAACTAAAGAAAAGGGGATGCAGAACGAACTAGATCTCATCTGTCGAATTTGGAACTGGTTCGGAACTATAGAAAAAGGGATGCAAAACGCACTAGATCTTATCTGTCGAATTTAGAACTGGTTCGGAACTAGAGCCAAAGGAATGCAACGAGGGACAATTGACACTTCCTAGGGCATCGCAATGTTAAATTAAAAAGTCGCTAGCATGCAAAGAGAATTAACGCGTACTAGTCATGGTTCCAAACGCACTAGAACCGAACCAGTTCCGCACTAGTTCGTTTCCCTACAGGGTATCTTTTGTTTTGATAATTGCAAATAGGTCATCTACGTGTTTTGTTAATAATCGTTGTTTATTGTTAGAGTCTTTCTCGAAATTCGTCAATAGTTCCTCCATAACTATGTCTGCTATCACGGGTGACGCTGGTGATCCCATAGCCATTCCTGACCTTTGCTCATATATCTTGTCATTGTACTTGAAATAGCGGTTTTCTTTTATACAAAATTTTAGTACGATTAAAAATAGATCCTTAGTTAACGGTGTGCGCTCCTGTATAGAACTCCATTTTGAGTCTATGATCTCTATGGCAAAATGTACTGGTATACTCGGAAACAACGAAACAACATCAAATGATACTAAACTTTCATCGTCATAAATTAACGTACTTCCAACATTTTCTCTGAATTCCATGGCGTCCTTTACATTATATTTTGACGATTTTGTTAGATTTTTAAGTATACGGACAACATATTTACATAAGTTATAACACAGTGAGTTAATGGACGGATTTTGGGTAATCCGTAAATTCTTGGGGGGTTCGCGGTTTTGTTAGAAAGTAAGTGCTTTTCCCTTAAATCAATCATTTTGTTTTTGTATATTCGCTCTACAATTTCAATATTTTTGTCTTGTAGTTTATTCGTCGGGTCGCGCTTTAAAACCCGGTAAGTGGAGATGTCATTTGCAATCCTTTGCATCTTCATATCATATTCAGATTTTTCCATCATAACAGTAACGTTCCCTTTATCGGCATTGAATCAAAAGTTGCTTATTGGTTTTTAAGAATGTCTTAGCAGAATGGAGCGTGTCGCGAATAAACCTATCTCTCATTGTATTTTTCGTCCTATTGAGGTGGTCTCGTATTAACATCGTTAAATTGTTTCCTTCAATTTCTTGTTTTTCCATATCCTTAATCGTCTGTATGCAATTTTCCCCGTCTGCAATAATGGAAACTCTTTCTTGGTCGTTGGCAGGGCAAATTTTGGACCTAATAAGATGAGCCACTGAACCTCCTCTGGAATTTCTGAAATTGTAGTATTGTAAAACCGCTCTGGTACACCCTTAATATTTAGTAGTTGTTTTGGTTTGTCTCTTAGTTTTTCGTACTTGCTTGTTTGTCTTTTTTTTATATTTGTCATTAGGTTATTGTTTATTGCGTTTTCACTTTCAAAAAATGCATCGGAGTCACGCCTATAGAGTTGTTGTTTAATCTGCGCCTTCAGTATATTTACCTTGTTACTTTTTTGCCGGAGTAGTTCGTGTTTGATACTGATGAGAATATTCAAGAGTTTACTTTGAACCTTTTGGACGTAAACTGACACTGAGTTGGTGATTTTTTTTGCATCTTATTATTGCTGGAGTTATTGCTAATTATGTAGATAATGTTTTTAGTAGCGCTGTTAATAAAATTGGGAGTTATGCCGCTCCTTCTGCACCTTTCCCGGAATTTGGTTGATTCTGCCATTCTAGTAATTTTTGTTGTTGTATTTTGATAGCTTTTGATATTTTTTCTGGTTTTGACGTCATAATTGTGCTTGATGTTTGTGTAGATCTTAGATGTGTGTTGGTCACTGCGGTGTGCTCTCCGATTGAACATGTTTAGGTTTTGTTTTCAGGTCGTTTATTGTAAACTTCTGGTAACAAGTTCCAACCCATGACAATGCATAAATCGTTCAGTATCAACGTTTTAATTTTACTAGCCTCTTTTCGAGAGCATATTTTCGGGCACTGGGCCCATTCTTACTGCCCAAGACAGGTATGTAATTAAGGGAATGTTCCCCAATAATACCAGAGTAATTATATTTAAAAAACAAATTTTTAGCAGCATTTTAACATGTCAAGAAAATAAAAAAATTTAAAACAGAGTTTTTATAAAAAACTGGCAGCGCGACCTCTAAGAAAACTTTTTTTCAAAATAAAAAAACACGTTTCTCTCTTTCTATCACAAATAATAATATTTGAGGTTTATGAATTTCCAAAAAAAAAAATTTTTTTGAACCACTCTAATGCATACAATTACAAATAACTAGTTACAAAACGTACAACAAAACACAACTTACAATCTTGGCTTTGCTCATGATGCAATAATACAAGGTGGTATCAGTTGTGACAGCTCGATTTGACACTGCCTTAGCTCAGTAGAATGAGAAGAAAAACGGGAAGAAATGAATCCCCATATGGGGGAAAAATATAAAATTTCACATTTTCTCCTTAACAAAATTTGCTTTTTTGTAGTATATTCGTTATGAAATTAAATAAAATAAAATAAAATACCTTTTTAAGAAAACAAAGTGCGTATACTGAGAAAAAATAAAAAACATTCAACTATATTAATGGGCAAAGAATAGTTAAAGAAGTAACACTGTTTCACGTAAGGCAGTCAATATGGCGGAATTAGAGCGAGAAGTTGCCAACTGATAACACCTGTATTATTGCATCATGGGCTTTGCCTGGTCGACTAAACATATGCGCGAAAATGCATTAACAGACAAACTTGGTGACAATAAGTATAAGCACGAGAATGTAAACGATTCAAAATACAGTAATCATAAACAAAAAAACATACAAACAACAATACATGAAGCGATGAACAGTAAGACGAAGAATTGTATGTATGTATCATCCCACCATATCATTATTGTTCTCCGAAGAAATGTTGCTATGGGATCGACGATTCGTTTTTTCATGAACACTTGGCATCTACACTATTGATTGTTGTTGTGGGTGAGAACTATATTGCCATACACATGAGCGCAATTATCGGTGTCTGT